ACTGTGCCCATAAGCAACAGACACCATCCCCTTAGTAGGTTCGTTCTTAACAGGTCTCTGATGGGCACTTGGAGTTTCATCACTAATTGCAACTATCAATTGGTATGTCTCTTTGGCCCTCTAGTTCTGCAGCCCTCCATGTTGGCACCCTGTTGCTTTTCTAATGTCTGGGCTGAAAAAAACTCAAAAAGTTATTTTTTTAATTGGTCACACATAGGAAATTTTGATCATTTCTGTCTGTAACAGTCTGATGTAAAACACTTTACAGTGAACAGACTACATGAATGTGAAATGTTCTGCCCCTACTTATTTCTAATTATGAACAGGGAAATTTTTTTAAAGCCTTTGTAAATTGCTAAGTTACAGTTTTAGTTGTAAGGTGTGGACAATTAGGTGACAGTGGCCAGTTCCCAACCTTATTGTGCTCAGACAGAGTACCCAGTATTTCATCTGTCCAGGAGAAGTACTAAGCTTAGAAAAAGTGACTTAACTTTCCTTTTATAAAATCAACTTTAGCGAATCTGATATAACAAACGCTGTTGTTATTTAGCGCTAATATTTCAGCACATGGTAAAGTTGGAAGTAAGATTTTACTAGAGCATTTGCAGGTTTGGTTGGAAAAACAGATTAAAATGACAATTGACTTTTTTTCAGTACACAGGATTAATTAACACATGCTCCTTTTACTTCTGTCTAGGAGGGCTGATAGTTCCAGTTTAGATCTAATTTGAGAGATTTATCATAGGAAAAAAAACATGAACTTTAATATCTTTCTGGCCTGGCCACCCCCCTGAGGGGAGACCAGTTAAGCCTGCACGTGTGTCAGAGCAGGGTAGGGGAAGGAGAGGAGACAGTGCCTGTGGTTACTAGCTGCAGCTGGTAGGGGCTGCCATCTGGGGGTCAACAGGCAGTGGGGGAAGGAAGAAGAGGGGGCTGGAGACTAGAAGGGTGCTATGGCCTTTGGCACCAGCGCCTCCCCTGCGGGTAAAGGTGGAGGGCCAGAAGGAAGAGCAGGAAGGGAAACTGATGGAGGGTGGAGTACTGAAAGCAGATTATGAGAGACAGGAGAAGTTGACCCAGCTGGGTCAGCATCTGGGGTCATTAGAAGGAAAGCGGGAAGAAGATAAAGTCATCAGAGGAGTGTGAGCGTGCCACAGGGAGAACAAGGGATCTAGGCGGTGTACCATTTTGAAAACCTTGGACTCTTTGCCCTCCTGGCGGCAGTAGAGGTCAAGCTGTAGGAGAGCACCAGAGGCCCATCTCCTGGTTGCCTAGCTGGTTTTGAGGAGATGCATTAGTGAGAGTGTCCTGAGGCCTTTTAGAATGCATTTCATTGGGGGGAGCCCTTAGCTACCCCATTGTGAGTTTCCCATGAGGAGTAATCCTAGGGGTGGAGAGGGATGGGTACTCAGAATGGTCCCTGAGGGACCGAAGAAAGAGAACACAGAGGGCCCTGGACCCCAGAATTTAAAAAACTCCATTGCCTATGTCCAGCATAGGGTGGAATTAGCATGTAGACCAAAAGAGAGAGCAAAACCCAGGGAGGAATTGGCACGTAGGCCAAGAGAGAGAGAAAATTCCATCTAAACTCTCAGCTGGAGTCCTGGGCAGAGGGTTGGTGAAATCAGTCTCTGTGTGTGTGTGAGAACGAGCGAGAGAGAGCAGAGAGAAAGCGTCCTCTATCTCCTTGACCCACCAGAGAAGCACCTTAGCTGCTGAGGGCTGAGGGCCCCAGGCTCCAACGCTAGGGCTGTTCTAACTTGTGCATTTGGGAGGCTTGGTACCAACGAGTCTTTTCCTCAGAGGGTCCTGGACTCCAGCAACATGCTTTCCAAAGCAGTGAGAAAAGGGAAAAAAAGAACGGCCTCTCAGAGTGGCTTCCAGGACCTCCTTGCTGACCAGATAGACAATAGGACTCACTGGAGATGTTACTCTCTACTGGACAAGGCTGAGGCGACAGGGAGAGGTCTATTTGATGTAGCTTGTCACGGGCAACAAGATTAAGAGCGAGTAGCAGGGAAAAGATAGCCAAGCACCTTATCTCTCTCTACAGAGAGACTAAAGTTTGAAAGAAGAGTGAACAAGAGAGCGGCAGATCTCGGTAGGACCTCCAAAAATGTTAGGGTCACACTCCCAGCAGGGCCTTCTAGGATGTTAGGTCAGGCCTGCTGGGGGTGTGGGTGTGCCTGGTGTGCGATCTGATGCCACATGAAAGACACAAGGAACTGCACAGAGGTTAGATTAGAAAATAAAGTTTATTTAGAAAGTAAATCAGACAGAAAGAGAGAAAGAAGAGATTCACCTCCCCAAGCCAGGAAACATGGCCCTGCCATATCTCAAAGAGCACATGGACAAACCATAGCTTAGAGTGGGGGAATGCTCCTGGTTGAGTCCTTTTAATCCTTCCCTTTGCCACGGAAGGTCATTGAGGTGATTGGGTGGTGGTCTGCTCCACGTCATCACGAAGAGGGCAGGTAAGTGCAGGTACTGACATCAGGTGATGGACAGCAGGCAGATGGGTGGGTTAGCCACATGATTGCTGCCATGGTGGTAGGCTAGGTGGGAGGAGACAAGGGTAGGGGTTTTTCCTGCAAGAAACCTGTCAGTCCAATCCACAAGCTCTTTAGCAAAAGGTGGTCTTGTCATTTATACGGCTTCAACCAGCCAAGGGGCCTGAAAACTTCTTAGAGATTATGCTACCCCATGAATTGAAGGGTTTTTCTGTCCTTGTCTTGCATCTGATGGAGATTTGCCCAGGGGGTGGGGTAGGCTACCAGCTTGGCCTGCTAGTAAAATGTCTGAACGCTTCCTAAAAGCTGGCCTATTGGAAATTTATCTATCTGTGTCTAACCTGTGCTAGATTCAAAGTGTGTCTGTCTAAGCAAAAATGGTTACGCTGAGGCAAAATGTGAGCTAAGTTTATTCTAAGTTCCTGGCGCTCCCTCCTTTCAATGGCTATCCCTATTTTACAGATGGGAAAGCGGAGGCACAGAGAGGCGCTGCAGTGACAGGAGCCACAGAGCCTCAGAAGGCGGCAATCTAAGGGGACTGTGGGGGCCACCATCTGGATGACGCTGTGGTCCTCCACCCCCCACCCCACAGTACACCCACAGCACACACCCCTATTCAGTGTGCTCTGGCCACACGCGGGGAGGAGCCCCCTTCCACTTTGTGGATGAGCAAACTGACCGCCAGAGATGAAAGTGACCATCCGTTTTTGTGCCAAGGAGGGTTGCTGAATGCCTCTCCCAGTCTCCCTGACTCATCAGGCCCCGACTGGTTGTTCCGGGATCGCAGCGTCTGTGTACCCTAAGTTCCCCTTGGAAACAGACTCTGCTCCCGGCCTGTCTGCCTCAGTGTCCGAGGGGCATCTCTCCGGCACGGTCCAGGGGGGCCGCTGGAAGGGGCGGTGGCTGTGGCAAGGGCCCCCACCTCTGCCCCGAGGTCCCTCCCCGCCGCAGTGTCGGGAGGCGCTGTCGCAACCCGCCCGGACGGG